AACAAATCTTCAATGATTTTATGCCTAGTAGACTTTTAAAAGATTTTCTGTAAAAAGAAGGAAGATAACTATAATATATTTAACAAATAGAAGCCCCCTTTTCGGTCTTTTATAGATCAAATAGTTGCGGAAGGTCATGAACTGATAAAAATACGTTCTTAAAGTTGTCTATAGATAGAAGTTGTCCTGTCTATGGACTCTTGTCAGACGCCCCTGAAGGATAAAAAACTTCGTAAGAGTATTTTATGAATGGGTTTTCTATGGATACAATACCTTCTAAAGGACTTTTTTTATAGAAAACCTCCTTAGGTTTTCTCTAGACGGAGGACTTCCCCTTCCTATCCATGGAAGACCATCTAAACGTCTTGTATGAATAAAAGATCTCCTGAATGTCTGAAGTTCTGTGGATAGAAGACATCCTAAAGGTATTTTATGGACAGAAACCCTACTGAAGGTCTTCCATAATAAGAAAAAATCCTCAAGAATTGTTAAGAGGTAGTAGACTTTTGAAAGATTTTCCGTAAAACGAAGAAAGATAGTTATAACATGTTTAACAAATAGAAGCCCACCTTTCGGTCTTTTATAGATCAAATAGATACGGAAGGTCATCAACTGATAAAATTCGTTCTTAAAGTTGTGTATAGATAGAAGTCGTCCTATCTATGGTCTCTTGTCCGACTCCCCTAAAGGATAAAAAACTTTGTAAAAGGGTCTTCTATGGATACAAGGCCTCGTAAAGTACTTATTTAGATAGGACACTTCCGGCTGCTTTACTATAGACCTCTTATAGGTAGACAAATCACTTGTCGCTCTTCTACATATTGGAGGTCGGCTTTGACCTTTCGGCAGAAAAAGATCTCTTGTTGAACTTATATGAAGACGGAAGATTAGGATAAAAGATATCATGTCTGCCTTCTATAAATAGAGGACCATCTGCTCTGCCTCCTTTGGCTCTTCTTCGGAAAGACAAAATCTTTTGATACTTAAATGAAAACAAAAAGATCTCCAAATACTCTTCCTAATTAGAACAAACCCTACCATATAAGTAGTAGACTTTTGAAAGGTTTTCTGTAAAAATAAGGAAGATAAATACAACATTTTTAATAAATATAAGCCCTCCTTTCGGTCTTTCATAGATCAACTAAATTCGGAAGATCTTCAACTGATAGAAGACTTCTAAATGTTGTCTATACTCTTGTTAGACTCCCCTGAAGGAAAAAAAAACTTCGTAAAGCTATTTTATGCATGCAAGTCCTCTTAAGGTTCTTCTATGGATACAATGCCTCCTAAAGGACATATTTAGATAGAAACTTCTTGCTGGTTTAACATAGACATCTCATAGGTAGACACATCACTTGTCGCTCCGCTTTGACCTTTCGGCAGAAAGGATATCCCCTGTTGAACTTATATGAAGACGGAAGATCTGGATAGAAGATTTCCTGTCTCCCTTCTACAATTAGAGGACCATATGTCGCTCTTCTAAATATCGCAGACCTGCTTTGGCTCTTCTACGGAAAGACAAACTCTTTTGATACTTAAATGAAAATAAGATCTCCTAACTAAAACAAATCCTCAAGGATTTTTTATGGGTAGTAGACTTTTGAAACATTTTTAACAAATATAAGCCCTCTTTCCGATCTTTTATAGAACAAATAGATTCGGAAGTTTTATGAGACGGAAGATCAGGAAAGAAGATTTCCTGTCTCCCTTCTACAAATAGAGGACCATCTATCGCTCTTCTAAATATCGAAGACCTCATTTCTACGGAAAGACCAACTCCTTTAATACTTAAGAAACAAAGATCTCCAATACTCCTCCTCCTAATAAAATTTCAAAAGATACAACTTCTCTGTAAAACGACCTTCAAAAGAAACTTAATTTCAAACTCTGTTCGATTCACACAACGGAAATCTAATCATCCGCAAAAATGAACGCCAACATAAATCGCCAAGCGGGTTGTTTGAGTGGCACGCTTGTCCACATGACCCGCTGGCTCAAACGTGCGACGACTCCGCCGCACAACAAATGATTTTGGATTTTCGCTTTAAATTTTAATTTTTTAACCTATTTTCGATGGCAATTGTCGACAAAGAGAGGAAGGGAATGCAAAAGGGGTTGGAAGTCCACCAAAAACATAAATTTCATTTTAGCTTTTATTCAATTTTTAGGTAGGTGGATTTGAGAGTTTTAAGATTTTGAGTTGCTCTGGCGACTTATCACAAGAAATAAAGCACAAAACGATAGAGAGAGAGAGAGAGAAAAGACCGAACTAGAAAAACATTTGGAAAAAATAACACGACTCAGGCAGGTCTGACGGTGGTATGACGCCAACACAATTCCGTTTCCAGCGGTTGTTTTTTTTTTTGTTAAAAGAAATAAAAAAAATGTTATTCACAGTTTGTTGTCTCATTTGAATGTTGTTGCTTTTTGTTTTGTTTCGCTTTTTTTTGCGAGCAAAAAGTTCTTTACACTCAATTAAAATTCTAAAACAGAAGTCGATAAATATCTTTAAAATTATATGTTTTTTGTTTTATTTGTGGTTGTTGTTTTACTATTGGCTTGTTTTCTGTTCGGAAAAAAGTATGTTAGGCCGTTTTCGCTTTTGTGGCAAAACCGCAAAACATTGTTTGGATTTTTTAGAGATTTTTGTCAAGCGTTGTTTTTTTTTTTCTTAATTTCGATTTGGTTTTGTTTGACATTGTAGCAGTAGATGGGCGTGTTACGGCTTGTAACCTATCACAGATATCTCAATATTTTATTGCAATTTATTTGTTTTTCTATTTGGGTTTGCATTTTGTTGAAGTTCCAATTAATGGTTTTGTCTGTTTGAAACTAGGTGGCAACGCCCATGGGCATTTTACTTGCTGAGGTGACACACATATAAATAAAAGATCTAATCAGATTTTAAAATGCATTTTTTTTATTATTTTTTAAAACATGTCTTTGAGGGGATAATTTGTATAGATTATTTGGATTCCTGAAAAAGTTTGAAAAATTTGGAAACAGGAATTACAGGGTGAGATAAAAAACTGCAACAAAGTCTAACGCCATAATTCTTACATTTTTTTTTTAATTTTATTGAATGAAAGCAAACAATGTCGGAAATAGCATCAAATTTTAGAATAAGTTTGGTCACCTTTGGCACGAATTATGGCCTTCAAACGGCCAATGAAACCGTCACACGCTTCCCGAATGTTGCTCTGCCGTATTTTTGCCCATTCTCGGCGAAGCGCTTGCTTGAGGTGATCGACACTTTCGTATTTTTTAGTGTCAACCTTGCTTTCCAAAATACTCCAGACACAATAGTCCAACGGATTGGTATCCGGAGATTTTGGTGGCCATTGTACGCTGGAAATGAAGCGAGGAACCTCATTTTGTAACCATTCTGGGGTGGCGCGTGCTAAATGCGATGCTGCTGAGTCCTGTTGGAATGTCCAAGGTCTGCGGCCAAAATATTTGCGTGCTCAAGGCTATAAAACACCCTTCAGAATATTTTCGCAATAATATTCGGCATTTATTCTGATGCCACGGTCGATTAATACGAGCGGAGAGCGACCATCGGCTGTTATGGCGTCCCACACCATCTCCAAGGCCGGCGCTTGAGTTCTAGTGGCCAACCGAAGGTGCACATTTTCAGCTGACCTTTTTGGGAAGTAAACACGATCATTTTGTTTGTTTACAAACTGCTGGACAACGAATGTTTTCTCATCGGAGAAAACCAAATTCGCCAGTTCACCACTTTCGGCCAAGCGAAGCAACTCTTTAGCACTTTTGAGTCTATTTTCTTTCAGTTGCGGTGTAAGTGCGATATGTTCAGCTCACGAGCCATTTTTTGGCCACTGCGACGCGGGGTTCAATCACGTCGCTTCTTTATTTTTCGAACCATTTCTGCTGATGTTGCTGTTTTCTTCCGTCCACTTCCTTGACGTCGGGCTACGCTACCAGTATCACGGTAACCAGCGATTGGACAAGACACAAAAGATTTATTCACATTTGAATTCTGCATTGCTCTAACGATAACCACTTGTGGTTTTCCAGCCAAATATAAAGAAATCACACTATCACACTTGAATTCCAACTGGAAAATTCTCACCAATATGCTTTTGTACGCTTGTAAACAATATAATGAGCTGTCACTGTAATAATTTTAACAGCTGTCGGACGAGTGGCTTAGAAATGACAGCAGTCTGAAGTTGGTTGCAGTTTTTTCATCTCACCCTGGATATTGACCTTTCGAAGAAGGACGATTTTTCAACAAAGAACGTGGAATTTGAAAATATTTTCTTATCTTTAAAAAAAAATTTTAAAAGGTTCTTTTTTAAAAAAATTTTTTTGCTCAATTTATTAAAAAATATATTTTTGTTAAATTTTGTTTTATTTTGACAGTGGGTGGAAAGATAGATTCCGATTTTCAAAAAAAAAAAATCCAAAATCCCCTTCTTTTTAGACATACAACTCTACCACATGTTTTGCTCTAAAATAAATATTTGCCAATATCGGGATAGTCATTTAGTCAGTCACTCTTCCATGAAATAAACTGCTCAGCCACTTTAGAGGAATTCAGCAGAAAATTCAATAATTTAAACAAGCAAGCACACCCTTCGGGCGGGCAGTTGTTAGTTGAATAAATATTGGAAAAATATCACTTTTTTGGCTGTCGGGAATATAAACAACCAAAAAAAAATCTGAAGATAAAACTAATGGTTGGGATACATATATATTTTTAAACAAATATTCAAATGTCCATGTGAGAGTGTGTAAACATTATTAACGACCATAAATTTCTTCTTCGATTTGGGTATTCTCTTCAAAAATGGACAATTGTTTATTTAGTCATTTCGCTTAATGACGACACAGCTCTATGAACGGAAATCGCGCACATTACCTTATTGACAACATTTTGCGTTTGACGGATGTATGAAATTGGCATTGATTTCCAACAACGTTTTGGGTATTTTTACAAAATTTAAAAAAATAAAAATGAAAATCTTGGTACTCACATAAATTAGACCAGAATAGTATCTGTCTTTGATGTTGTGCAAGACGGACGCTTCGTTGAGACATGTCAGTTCGGCCATATCCTCGACTTTGTCGAATTTAGGCGGATTCATTTTTTGTATGTCGTCACGCAGAACCATGACCCGCTTACCCGTTTCGGTAAGTTCGACTTCGACTTCGTCGCCATGTTCACGTTTAATACTGGCAGCACAGAAACCCTGCAAGAAATAACCAAGAGAGAAATAAAAAATTAAAATTATGAAATCTGGTTTATATTATTTCAACAAAGGAGATATCTGAGAAAAAACTCGTTTTCTGTAACTATTTAAATAATTTATATATCAACGAATGCGTTGTATCAACCATGTGGATAATATACTTATCCATAAACTTTGATATTTTATTTATGCATAAATGTGGACAATGCATTTATCCGCAAACGTGAATAAGGCATTTATCCAAAAATTTGAATTTTAATAATTTTTTATCCACAAATGTGGATAACTTATTTATCCGCAAACAAATGTAAATAATTTATTTTTTCAAAAGCAGATGTGTTTTATCCATGAGAATAATTGATTTATCCGCAAATGTGGATAATTTATTTATCCACAAATGTGGATACTTTATAAATACCAACGTGGTTAATTTATTTATCCATATACGTGGATAATAAATGTATCTGAATTATGGATAATTTACATATCCGCAAACGTGGACAACTTATCTCTCCACAAATCCACAATGTGGTTAATTTACTTATCCGTAAATGTGGATAGTATGTACAGGGTGAGATGAAAGAACTGCAACCAACTTCAGACTGCTCTCATTTCAAAGCCACACGTCCGACAGCTGTTAAAATTATTCCAGTGATAGCTCATTATATTGTTTACAACCGTACAAAAAAAAAGTTATTCGTGATGGAATTCAAGCGTGATAGTGTGATTTCTCTATATTTGGCTTGTAAAGAAGCGACTTGATCGAAACCCGCGTCGCTGTGGCCGAAAAATGACTCGTGAGCTGAACATATCGCAATATTCCATTCGGCAAATATTGAAAAATGAGCTCGGGGTAAGGCTTTTGAAATTCCAAAAAATGCAAGAACTTACATCGCAACAGAAAGAAAATAGACTCAAGAGAGCTAAAGAGAATTTGGTTCTCTACGATGAGAAAACATTCGTTGTCCAGCAGTTGTCCTGGAATGGGCCAAGATATCGCATAGCAATATTCGGGCAGCGCGTGACGGTTTATTCGCCGTTTGAAGGCCATAATTCGTGCCAAAGCTGACCAATTCGAACAAATCTAAACTTACTCTAAAATTTGATTCTATTTTCGAAATTTTTTGCTTTCATTTGATGAAAAATTAAAAAAAAAATTATGGCGTTTGACTTTGCTGCAGTTTTTTAATCTCACCCTGTATATTCATGATCACCATAAAATTCTAAGTCGATGTCCGTCTGTTGAAATCACGCGATACAGCCCACATTATTCAAAATTTGGCACAATAATTTGTATTGTATCTAGGATGGTTGGTATTGGAAATGAGATATATCGGCCCATGTTTTGGAATAGCCGCCACATAACGTTGCCTTCGGATATTCGGTATTTTGACGATTTTCACCACTTTTTTTTCACAGATTGGTCTAAAAATGAGTTCTAGCTCCGGTAGCGAAGCATTGTATGTAGGGGTCCACGTTTTTGTACCTCCCGGTATTCTGCATTTTGATGTTTTTCGCCATATTTTTTACGGATTTGTCTAAAAAAATTGTATTTGTAGGTCATAATGAGTTCTAGTTCCGGTGGCGAAACATATTATATAGTGGTCCACGTTTTCCTATAGGGCACATATAACGATGCACACCGATATTCAGTATTTTGATAGTGCTAGTCTCTTTTACCCACGAAATTGTTTCAAAGTTGGTAGTTAAGAAGATTTGGTAGATGGCAATCCTTGAAGTATAAAATTGTCTATAGAGGTTCCTGTTTTGGTGTGGCCCCATATAACGGCCTCGCCCTTTTTATGGTTTTTGAAATGTTGCTGTTATCTAAGCGCTCTAACTGGTATTTGTAGTTTAATGTGGAACACGTTTAAATTCAGATACTTATATACAAAAATGTTTCCTTTATTCAATGGTGGGAGGTATTAAAATTTCGGCCCGGCCGAACTTAAGGTTTTTTTACCTGTACCTGTAAAAGTCCACTTTTATTGACCTTCAAGCTCCCTATTTGAAGTTGTTATTCATCTCATTCCCTTATTTATCCCCCTTCTTCTATTTCAAGCTTTTGTTTACTTTACCAATTAATTATGATTATTAAAAAAACCCAAATGCATTCCTTCACGCAGAGAGCCACAGAGAGTGACAATGGGAATTTCCACTTTATGGCTATGAGAAGGAAGGCCTTTTGTTATCATGTGTATGCCGTAATTCAAAGGCAACTCTGGATTACTTTGAGTAACTCACTCTCATTTTTTCTATTTTTTCATTCTCCTCGGGCATCTTTTGTGTGGTGTATTTCTAAATATGATGCATGTGTGCAGTAATTTGTGTTACTACGAGAGAGCGAGGAGATGTAGCATCAATCTCCACCATAATACCGGCATTACTGCGAATTTCATAATGCTCTTTTCTCCTCCCTCGCCTTAACCTCTCACTCTCTCTATCTCTTGCTCTCTGTTACTGTAATTTACTTTATGCCGGATTTTATGGGATTACTGCAAATTGGTATTTGTTTATTTTTCTCCGTTTCAATGTGTTTGTAAGTTTGATGCAATTTTTGCATCACGATATGGCGGCGGCTGCCAAAGCCCCAGAAAAAAATACACACAATGACGGCGTTGTTAAAGAAGAAGAAGATGAGTGCAACAGCAGCAAACTAAACAAGTTCAAGGCTCTGTAAATGAAATTCCTTCAACTTGACGTTTAAACTTAATGAAAAATGCAACACAATTCACAAAGTTGTTGCAACGAAGTGGAGAGAGCCAACCAGACAACAACAGAATCCAATAAGAGGAAGAGAAGGCAACGAGATGATGGGATGAAATTCAGAGAAGAGAGAAAAATATAAACACCAATGAAATATATCCGTGAATCGAATCAACTGTTTGAACGTGTTGTTGTGTTACAGAATAAAGCATCTTCTGTTTCTTCTTCTACTTCTTCTTCTCATTTTGAAAATAAATTCAATTACATCCGATTTATGGGTTTATGGTATATCTGAGAAGATGTGTTTATATTAGCAGCGAGGCAGGGCTGTTTTGTGTGTCGGAATTTTGCGTGCCTGCTGCAGTAGATGCAAAAAAAAAGAAAAATGCAATTCAATGCTGTTGTTTATTTTCTAATAATAGGCGCGTGAAAAAAAAACTAGAGAAACAAAATTTTGCAGTTGTTGTATTTGTATATCAATGTTATTCTTGGCACAATTGTTTGGGGCATGAAATTTATTGTTCGTTTTTTATGCTTTTATTTTGGGGGATTAAAAAAAATTATATAGGTTATCAATAACATAGTATTTATCTTTGAAATAACCAGAAGACCCGTTGAAGGTCTCACCGATGTATCCTGCAATGTCCTTCTCAATCATTTCGGATGGATGGGTCCATGGCTCAATAAAGAAACTAGGAAAAATGCAACTCCATACCGGAGCCTTAGAGGAGAGGTCTAACGGCCAAAAATTAGATTTCTCAGAAAATACAGGGTGAGATAAAAAAAACTGCAACAAAGTCAAACGCCATAATTTTTACATTTTTCTTTAATATTTTTGAATGAAAGCAAAAAATGTTGGAAATAGCATCAAATTTTAGAAAAAGTTTAGATTTGGTCGAATTGGTCACCATTGCCACGAATTATGGACAATGAAACAAATAACTTTTTTTCTGGACAATTCGCACAAAAATGCTTTTGTGCGCTTGTAAACAATATTCATTATATTACTGTTACTAGAATAATTTTAACAGCTATAGCACGAGTGGCTTAGAAATGAGCAGTCTGAAGTTGGTTGCAGTTTTTTCATCTCACCCTGTATATAAAAATATATCATTTCAGAGGCTACATCGGTGGCAGGACTATCATGTACCAAAGTCCCGCAGAAGTCCTGTATTAGGTATTCTACCCAAGGGAATACATTTATACATAGAAATTAAGTGTTATTATTATCCATTTACCCTCCCCGTCTCCCTTAAAATCATTCTGTCAACCTAAAAATTTGGAGTCACAAAAAACTGCCAACCATTATCTCCCAGAAAACTACAAATTCCTCCAACCAAATCAAACATTACTCTATGTTGAGGAGGGGTGCAAATGTCAAGGAAAATAAAAGAAATAAAAATTTCATAATTGTCAAAAGATAATTCCAAACTTTTGTGTGTGTGTGTGTATTTTTTCAAGCAAACATTAATTTGACACAGAAGCAACGTACACTCACAGTCACGAGCGTTTTAAAGAAAATGTATGTCACATACTTATCTGCTTTTTTATGACGGTTACATATTTTACTCACTCACAAAATATTTTTTTTTTTTTTTATTCTTGTTACTGTTGCGCTGCTACCGGTTTGATGTGGCGGCTCACTGCCACCGACAACAACAAACGCAAATTAATAATAAGTTGTTATTTTTGTTGCTTCAGTTGCTTGGCTGCACCCATAGAAGAGTTATGAGATAAAAACAAAAACAAGCAACAAAAACAACATCGTTATTAAAATTCTTAAAGGCCTGCCAGCTACCAGTATTCATTTGGGGTGCTCAATGTTGAAGGTGTGTGTATGAGAGTTGGTTGAAAAAAATATATCCCAAAAACGGAACAATGTTCTCTGAAAATTTCGAGATGGGTTCAAAAAATAACTCTGGCAGCTCCTCGATAGAGACACCGAGCAGCTCGTCCATAGGGACACCGAGCAACTCGACGATAGGGACACCGAGCAGCTCGTCCATAAACTCTCTTTAGACTCTCTTCATGCTAGTCTCCGAGCATAGAGAATTGGAGCAACTCGTCGATAGAGACTCCGGACGCCTCGTCGATAGAGACTCCGAGCAGCCCCCGTTAGGGTCTCTTATAGATTCCCTTCAGAATCCCTAAACTCTCTTTAGACTCCCTTCATGCTAGCCTTTAAAGACTCCCATCAGCTCGTCTAGCAAGACTATACATGTGCAGCTAATCTACAAAGACTCCATATCTTCAGGTTCGTCCCTTAAGATCCCTATCTCAAGCTCGTATATACA